ATAATAATCGGTGGGGGTGTTGGTAATCGATTGCCAATGAATATGGTTGGCAATCGATTTCTAACCGTATCAGAAATTTGCTGATGCTGAGATAATAAATCTTACTTACTTGTTGATCAAAATGGGGAACGTGAACGTTTTGCACTCAATCATAACTGTAATGTGTAGTTACGTCAATGCTACAATAAGCTTTACCTATTGTTATAAAATGCTCGTCTATCAATTTTTCTTTGTTATTCTGCTAACTTCGTATTTTTGTTGTAATAATTTCTCTCTAACTTAGCCTTTACTAGATGTTCTTTGAATTTTTTCAATAAATCTTTCGCTTCTTCTTCCTTATGAGCATTATACTGTAAGCCGTTCTGAAAATGTTGGTATGTGTCACATAAATCTGTTCTTGGACTCATGATTTGAATATAAGACGTTAATTGGTATCATAACTTGCGAAATGCATCATATTTTAACAATTTCAACGTGCTCTCATTTTTGAGACCTGCAATAAAATCACGATAAACTGACTTGTAACTCGTTTTAGCTGGCAAGAGTGTAAGCGATTGAGTAATGCAATTGACATTTCTACCAGGACTTGGTAATCCATGTATTTCAGCATAATTCTCAAGAAAATTTTTTTATAGCGGTAGCAACAGTTATATTAATGATTATTTTGGTTTTTCATCACGGAACTTGTTTTACGTTACCATGAACATGTGGTATTATGCCATTCGTTGCTAGGTGATTTCTGACATTTTCGAAGTGAGTGCGACCGATTCCTAACATATTGAGATACGTTTTCTGACAAAGGGACATATTGTGATCTCAGTAGTAAAATGTTCTCTTATTAGTACGCGTTTTCTTTTTAAGATGTCAACTGTCAGTTATTTCTTCACCATTCATTGCTCTCAACTGGACCATTAAAAATATATCTTGTTCAGATCTAGAGAGAGCTTGAAACGCCTCACGTAACTCGGCAAACCTTTCTCTCAGAATCATTTTTGAACATTCACATTTGCAACCTATCTCTAAGAAACGTATTGCTTTTTCATATTCAGTTGAACCATTATAATTATAATTTTCCATATACAGGTAATCCTATATATAATTTTATCACTTCTTTATTCCTTTTCATGTTTTGTTATCCAGGAGAAAATCTCGCTGCATGCTACTTACTCATCACTATCATGAACATCATTTCCTATGCCAGCAAATGTGGCCATGATTCAGTTTCAAAAAATAGAAACTGAACTGATTCGGGACAAATCAGACCATTCACATTTCTTAGGACAGCAATGATATATGTAAACTTGTGACATAACAATAAACTTATTCAGGAGAAGGCACGAATTCTTTGTATAATTAAGAATTTATTTAAAATTCACTGGAGAAATGCATAAGTTGCAACATATCCGAATGCACACTATTCATATTCTTCAGGCCATTCCTCATCTTGTTCCGCTTGTTCATCAGATTTCCATCTTTTATTAATCAAATAATCCTTCACGTCTTCATCATTGTCATTATTGATCTCCTTTGCCCTGTTGAAATATTCGCATTAATTATGAAGTTTTATTACTGTGAAGAGGAAGGAATATGACAGTCACCTTTTGGTAGCATGAGAGCCATAGACAACTGGAAACATTCTACATATAAACTTGAATTCTGTTGGTCTACAAATCGTTGACATATCGATCCAGGACCGCAGGAGACTCCGGATGACCTCATAATATTGTCGATCAAGTTTGAAGCAGCCCAAGCCGAGAACTACCAACCTGTTTGCTTTTTTAGTATCATTAGTATTAGAAAAGTTTAACGTCATATTTCCATGACGATTTCTTCCTTCACCATAGTGGTATGTTTCAAACTTTGGGTTATTCGCATATGCTTCACCTATCCAATTCACCATAGTCAATAAACTGATCACATGGAGCATTAACCAGTATAAAAATAGATCAACATCCTCTTACCGATTTGAATATAAATACCAACAGAAGAATCCTCTAAATGTGCACACGTTTTGCACAGTGTCATCGATGTCCGGAGGCCATTAGCAACAGCATAATTCCGCACACCTCTGCTTTCAGGTCTTGCATGATTTTTCACCTAGACAAGATACAATCCTTCAGTTGCAAAAATTCTCTCTATAATATAAGAAAGAACATGCACAATAATTGTTGTAGTAAAAAGATTGTACCTGTATATTCAATACTGCTAATTTTTTTTCATCTCGGTGGCACATGACTAATGCGATATCTGCACCTGGCTGGTTGCGCTGGTAGATGATGGCTGCACCTCGATCCCAACAGAGCTGCAAAGTAGATTCATCTGGGGTATGGTCAAGCGTGACAAAATGTGTGAATCCCATATCATATGCTGCCAGGTGTTGGAATTTCTCATGGGAAAACTCAGAAGAGAACAGTTCGTGAAGGTATGCAATAACTGGTTGATGGGCAGAGAATGTTGGATAATTCTTTACACAAAAGAAGATACAGTAAGATAACGACAATGTAAAGTATACGAATGAGAGTTTCAATATGTACCTCACAATTTTCCTTCCTAAAGGATAGTATCTGCCGACGCCTTGCACTTAATAGCAGTATTCTTGCACACAGTCCTCCTCGATTGCCAGTATCGATAACCCCACCTTCTTTTCCAACTAAATCCAGCTCCTTCAGCACTTCAAGCTCAACGCCAGGCCTCGCTAGCAGTGTCAATGCTCCTTCTGATAACATTGGTTCTGATGGATATCCAATGAGATGCTTCTTACCAGAGTCCTCAGCAGTGATAATTGTCGCCATATGTGATTTGACTAGGTCTCTTGCCATACGTGATAGAGGACAGATGTAGATGCAAACAGTGCAAGCCATCAGGGCTGTTGCAGATCGTTGCCGGTGTTTTTCCCACTTAAGAGTTCCACCGCATAGCTTTATCATTGCTATATCCACCAAGTAGCGATACCTCTCACGCGGTGCATCATATGTCATGCCATTCCACATAGACTGCCACAATGGCCGACCATAGCGAACAATATTGTAACCCATCTTCATTTCTTCTTCGGAGTAACTTGTATTGCTATGTGATAAACAAATATTATTACCAAACACTCCAACTGACACCTGCAAAGGACAATCAGATCCAAACCTTAAGCAATCCGTTGAAGCAATGTGAACAAACGGTCTGTGAGCGTGAAGATTCAAATCCCTCGCCTTTGATTTTCCCCAGCAATAGACAAAATAAATAAAGGTCATAACATGAAAAATGTCACAGGTTTGAACTTACAGAGTCATCTTCGTCTTGAGCGGGTACTAAGTCACCAATTGAGGAATTTGTATCTGCGAAAATTCCAACGATGTTCTCCCGTTGATTGCGAAGTGCTCTGCGAATTGCCCTAAAGACTTTCCGATCATCCGTTTCTAACAAACCAATGAGGATTCAGGATTGATGTCTGGTTGTTCAACAAAGACCATAAAAACCTTACCAGTAAGTGCGGAGGCCTCATCAAAGCATATTATTATGAACTGGTTCAAGGTCAAGGGGGGGAGTATATCGATCTGTTTTTTCTTCTGATAGACGGCGTCCCAGAACTCTTTTGCTTGATTCTGCTTGTGTTTTTTCTAATAATCATTTCGTTGTATATAACATAAATGTAAATAATAACTATGCATTACCTTGCTTTCCCTATCTTCTAATATATGTTGGAGATATTTCTTCCCATCCACCCTATTGTAAACGCGGCTCTTGTCCAGAAAAGTAATAACCATTGCAGCAAGCCATCTGTTAGCCACAGCCTCCGCTTTGGCCATCGTGTCGCAAAACTCGATCTCATTCTTTAATGTCAAGCTATGTGTCGTTGCTTTCGGATATCCAGTTGATACGGATGAACGGAAACACAGGTATATCACGGGATATAGTTTTGCCAGTTCATATATAGCCCTCGTTTTACCATATCCGGATGACTGGACTACCGCAAGGTAATTAAAATATTCCGAAGAATCTCTGATCGACCCTAACTGCCGGTTTAACTCGGTGATGTAATCGATGTTCGAACTGAATGGGACTGAGAATGCTATATCAAGAACTATTTTCAAGAAAACACGAGAGAGAGTCAGGCGAATTAATAGGGAACTATACAGACATTTCCATGCATTTACCGTCATCCCGTAGCTTCGTTATTTTTGAGGAACCTTAAGAATGCAAACAGCAATCAATGGACGGTCAGTATCATGAGAAATTAACCAGATAGTGCACGTTATTCAACCCAAACTATTGATCTTGCTTATTTGTCTTTGAAACGAGTTACATATAAACCTAGCTCCTCCGCCATTTACTAAGCTCTATTCTACACTCCTCCCAATACGTGTGTTCCAACTATTCTCTCTCCGTTACCGCTCTATGAACCACATAATGTCTCTATGACCCAGTTCTGCCCCAACTAATAACGCCCAACTGCCTCTCTTGCAATATAGCACAAACCCAGTAACAGTATTCAAACTCTTCTCCCCGTTGCTCTTCTATAAACGTGTGTTGCTTACCTTGCTTATCGAGAGTTTCGAGGTATTGCGCGTAGCAATCCGTCGTTGCTGCGGGGTAGTCTTGATGGTACTTGACGTAAAAGTCTTTATATTCGTTGTATGATTCTTCGATCTCCTTGTCAGTTGCTGTTGGAAAGTCTTGACCATAATTCACAGAAAAACGAATGAGTCCCAGTGAGTAGTCCATGGTTAGATGTTTTTCGTATGTTTAGTTTTTCGTTGGTAAAAATTATTCAGTGTAGAGTTGGCAATGTCTTTTCCCCCGCGTAACTCGCGGATTTGAGTAGCCACTTTGGTAAATGAAAAGTCCGGTTCCAGCTCAGATTTCGTATCAAAGAATTTTTTAAAATCTTTCCATAGATTTTCAACGTCTTCTGCGTATTTTCGTTCGCTGGGCAGCTTGCTGGATTTAGATTTGATTTTGATTTTGTTTAATTCGATTGCTTGAATTGCTATTTCAAGCTTTTGATTTATATTGCAGAGTTGAATGTATGTTTTATAATGGAGCAAATGACCAACGACAAGTCCTACAACAGCCCACAAACGAATTCAATAGTGGAAAGAAACATTTTTGATTACCGGTTATTTGCTTTTTTATAAAATGACTTGTTTCGGTATTGACGTTGGAAAGATTTGCAGTTTTTTTAAAAGCAAATTTGAATCAGGTTATGCCGTTTTATAATAAATTCTTGGTTTCATCAAAATTGCGAATTCATTATATATTTTTTTTAACGTATATTTAATATTGTGCGTTCATAGGAGGACTTTCGTGTGATTGGCTGATGTAAATCAATTGTCCGGGGTTGTCCGGATAATTTATTTATATACT